GAAATGGGTCCAGCACTGGCCTTCCCGCACACCAAGCTCCTTCATCAGGGGCACTGAATCACAGGGTGTCAAGGGCAGGGAATTGGGGTATCTGCACTCCTCTTCCCAGCCTCCCTTCCATCAGAGACCTCAGGGGTGCCAGGACAGTGGGACATGGGGAGCCTGCTCACATCTGAAGCAGAACCTTCCAGGTTTGCTGCTGTACAGGGGACAGGACTCAGGCTGGCAGCAGAACCCCAACATGAGCTGGGAGCAGGAAGCTCTGCTGACATCTGGTAGCAGCCTTCCCGGGATGATGGCGGGCAGACCTGGAGCCTTCTGTCCCCCACCCCAGGCTCCCAGAACTGCAGAGTCCATAAGGGCCCTCCAGCGTGAAAGGCCGCACTTCCTCTCCAGACCTCTTCCGAACAGAAGCTGGACAGGACACGGCACCAAGGACCCACACTCTACACAGACTTTGTACCAAAGATTCTGGGCTCCTCAGTGAGCAGCTGTGAGGCCGCAGGACCCGGAGACCCACTTCCTGCAGGATGGACAGAGCTCACGCCACATGGCTTCCTGCTCCACACTTTATTCACATTCCAGTCCTGCACTCCTTGGGCAGCTTATGGCCCACTTGGCTCTGCACTGCCCAGGCTGGGCTCAGTCCCGACTCTCGCCTGGCAGATGTAAGCCGGGAGGAGGTAGCTGTGCTGCAGGGTGAGGGGCTGTGCCCAGCTCAGAGTTGGGCTTGCTCCCCTCTGCTGATGGAGAGCCAGGATGCCGAGTCTGCTTTCTTACCTGTGTGCTGGTCAGGGCAAAGTGAGCTTGCCATGCCACGTGGGCATCGTGCTAGGTCCTTGGCACTACCTGCACTTCTCCTCTTAGCATGGAGGGCAGAGTAGCGTGGTAGGGAGGCTGGGGACAGAACTCCCACCTCCTGGAGGTCCCCTCACCCCCCTCCGCAGGTGCCTCTCTTCCGTCCTCCCTTTCCTCCAGCACAAGCTGCCCCCAGCTGATAAGGAGGGCAGGAGGCTGCTGAGCTCCACAGGAGCTGGGAGCCATGCCGGGCCCATTTGCAGTCTGCAAGGCTGTGGGAAGCAGCGGCTTGTTTCCATCAACCTCCTGCTCATATGATCTTATTATGAACACCAATTTCCAGGAAGTCATCTTGAGATTTGCTCTAGTCCTTAAGATGCCCCCTTCGTGGCAGTGACCCCTCCCCTCTGCTGCTCAGCTGTCACGCAGCCAGAGCAGAGGCTTTGCTCTCCTACCCCAGACGGGGCCACCTACCCTTCCTGCTGAGGGGTACCCAGGTGCCCTGATCTCCAGTGAAACTGATTTTAAAGACACGCAGGCAGCCACGAGAGCTGCCTGTGGTCAGGTCACCATGAGCAGAGGCCCATGCCACCATGGGCTTCAGCACCAGCACTCCAGATCCCTGGGCTCTGACAGCAGAGCTTCCTGGGCTGCCTCCGGCAGCTGGGCCTTCCCCTTGGTACAGGCAGTTTCCAGAGTCCTGGATTAAATAAAGGCTTCAGGTTGCACTCGGGCTCTGGTGAAAGAGGTGAGCAAACACAGGCGGCCAGCTTCAGGACTCAGCTGGCGGGGTGACACAGGTCCCTTCCATCAACAGGCGCAAGTGGTCTGCAAACATCGGGTCACTGCCATCTCTGGAAAAACCCAAGATGACTAGCCCAGGCCCCTAATGTACTGCAAGATGAGCACCCTCCTCAACCTCAGAGACATCCCTTGGAGAGAGGACTATAAGAGCTAATAACCAAGTTAAACAAGTGAATGAGGTGGCTCCTGAGTATAGCTATTCTGACACACAGGGAGCATTGGGAGACATACACAGAGACCTACGGGAACGTGGACACAGCCGTCAAAAGGCATGGAGAGGCCTGGGACAGACAGCGATCCACCGCCTATGGAAGAACCAACCCTGGCAGCACCCACCTGCATACAGCCCTTTCCCAGGGACCCTGTGGGCCTAGTGTACTGTGACTTCAACTGAGGTATGCTGGAGGCACAGCGTGCAGGCCGTGCTCCCGTGTGGTCCTCACAAAGCAGGGCCAAGGCCTTTCCTCAGCAGCTAACGTCTTTAATTTTAGAATCCACGCGTAAACCCAGCTTGAGTTCTCCAGAAACTCGCTTGCGACTGGCATTCACTCTAGGAAGGCAGTGCGGAGCTCAGGAAGGGTGAGCAGTCGGGGGCAGCCCTGGAGCCGCCCCGCGCATACACAGTGCGCACTTGTATGTACGCATGCCGCCCACCAGTGACCCTGGACGGCTCTGGTGAGGACAAGAGGAAGGACAATGTCTGACTGACCCTGAGCTGAGACAACCCGGGGTGCGGTCGAAGAATGGCCCGAGGAAGCCCCTGGAGCAGACACCATCGGGTCCCAGCTCCAGCAGTGCAGAAGACCAGCGGGGTGGAGCAGGGGACTGTCCAGCACCCGCTGCATGCTCAGCAAGGCCAACCTGAGCAGAGTCCAGCTAACGGGCCCCCCACCGGGGGTCCCTGTGCTCAGCACCCCACAGGTCCTCCCGGAGAGCCCTTGGCTCCTTGGGCCGGGCTAGGACGCTGACCTGGGTGCCTCCTACAGCCGATGGCCCTGGGTCTGTGCTGGCTGCGGCAGGCGCCCGCAGCGGGGGTAAGGCGGCAGGTGTGAAGGGGGGCAATGGGCGCTGCTGGCACCCAGGGTGCCCGAGGAGGGAGTGTCCAGTCAGCACAGCAGGGCAGCTGGGTCCCAAAGGGGGCTGCTGCGGTGGGCTGCGGCTGGGCCTGGAAGGCTCTGCCAGGAGAGTGTCTGCAGGCAGTGGTGGCACAGGGGGTACCCGTACTCTGCACGGTCCTTGGGGATCACCGGACCTGCAGCCTTCCGCCTGGGCCTGCAGTATCTTTGGTTTGGGCCTAGTGGGGCCCTTCTGTCTCCAGTAGGGCAGGTGTCTGTGAGCAGAGCCATAGGCCCAGCGAGGTCCCCTGGGAAGGGACCACAGCCAGGAAGCTGAGCCCTTTGGCCCAGGCCCCCGGGGGCGCCTCCTCAGCCGGTCCACCTGTGTCCTCATGGTGGCCACTTCCTGAGCCAGGCCTGCCAGGGCTGCGGCGAGCTGGTCCAGCTTCTCTGTGAGGGTGGCACCCAGGCTGTGCAGCTCCTGCTGGAGGGGCTTCCGACAGGGACATGGCGGCCGGGGGGAGGTGTCTGACCACACAGGTGAGATGGCTGCTGGAGGTGGAGAATTGCTGGGCAGCTCAGGTAGGTCCCCAGGGAGCAGTCCCCCTTGGGTCCTGGCTGAAACCAGAGAAAGGACAAGGTTAGAGTTCGTGGGTGGTAGGGACCTGCTCTCTCCCCTAGAGGCTCCTTGGACACTGGCTTTCCGGCTCTTCATCCCCCTAGAGCCTGGCCTTCCAGCACAGAAGGAAGGCTACTCCAGATTAAGGAAGTATATTGTGTACATGTGCACATGTTTTGTAGTCCCAGGATCAAACGCAGGGCCTGTGCACGGCCGGCAATCCTCTACCACTGCGTCTCCAGCCCATGGCCGAAGGGTACTGATGCACAGCCGTGCTACGTCAGAACAAGGCCACCATTTGGTCTGGTTCTCTAATCAAAACAAGAGTTTGGTCCGGGGCTTCCATCTGAGGAAGGGCAAGGTTCAAACACCCTGCACAATACAGGGCTCTTAAACCTTACATCCCAGGAGCAGGCAAAGTCAGTGCCAGATGAGATGCCTCCCCACAGGCTGCCGGTCAAGTCCCGTGTGACCTAGCACGTGGGGCTGCCTTGGGGCTGCCTCACCTCCAAGCTCCCTGCAGGGCGTTGGCCAGGTCCCCTGACAGTGCCAGGGTTCATTTACCTCTGTCCTCTCAAGTCCCTTCAGACCCCTAATTGACTAGCAATACCTCTCAGGCAGATCTGTGCTCTTCTGAAAACCCCAGCAATTTCTGTCATAAAATGCTAGAGAAACGCACTTCCAGGCAAGACTTTTCCTCACGGTGACCTGAATAATGAGCTCAGAGAGTGTTTCTCTCCCCAAGCGGACAGCCAGGGCCTGGCCCAGGCAGAGGCACAGAGAAGCCACCAGCTCACCTGCAGCACTAGGTCTTATGCATCTGGGCTCCGGGCCCCTCAGGTCCTCACTAGCACTGGGCCCGGGCCTCTTCTCTGGTGGGGGGACAGGCCAGGGAGCCCCAGCTGCCTCTGCAGAGAAAGCACACAGCACTTGAGGCTCAGAATGCACCCTTCTGCAGGAGCTGCCCTGAGTGGCCTCCGAAGTCACATGATTAAGAGAGATGCAAGCCAGGAGCCCACCAGGGGCGGGAAGCCCAGCCTGCAATGGTAGGTGCTGTCTGCAGGAGACTGTTGTGCACAGTTCCAGCCTTACCACAGGGCCCACCGGGACAGGGACAGGTAGGCAGGATCGGATTGGTGGGTCCTGATCCCAGGGAGACTCCCCAAGGGTGGGCCCACTCATCCGATCAGCCCACTCCACGTTTTCCTGTGGGTGTCCAGGGTTATGAGGAATGGGGTACAGCCCAGCCCCCTGCACAGGCATGGGCCAAGGCCTGGGAACAGAGCTGCTTACCCAAGTGTCTCCCAGGCCTACCTCTTACTCTTCCTCCCCTGGCTGCGGCACTGCTGAGAAGTCCAGGCGGACAGGCACGCCCTGTGCACTCCTCTCTCCTGAGCCGCAGAGAACCGCCTCCCGTCTCTTCTGCTTTTCCTGCTGGAAGCAAGTGCTAGATCACAGACAGGATGGAGAAGTAAAGCAGCCTGGGCTAAGGTCAGCATCTCTAGTGGCACTTTTTCCCCCAGTACTGGGGACTGAACTCAGATCCTTCACATTGAGCTCTCCTAAAATAAATTTTTTATTTTGAGATGGGATCTCAGTCAGTCACTAAGTTGCCCAGGCTAGGCGCAGAGTTGCAATCTTCCTGCCTCAGCCTCCTAGAGGGCAGGAATTGCAGGCGTGCACCACCAATCCAGCTACATCTACCTTTTGGGTTTTTTTTTCCATGTGTTTGGCACAGCGTTTCACTACGTTGCTCGGACTTACAATGATCCTCCTGTTTTCAGCCTCCCAGTGCTGGGATTACAGGCATGCACCACCATGCCCAGTCTCAGTGGCCAGCTCAGAGTGCTGAGGGTGGAGCTGGGGACTAAACCCGGGTCCCTGTGCTTGCTTAAGCAGGCGCTTAGTCCTCTGAGCTATCTCACCAGCCCTTGTCTACCTTTCCTTTCTTTTTTTCTTGCTGAACCAGGGATTGAACTCAGGCCCTTGCACTTGCCAGGGAAGCACTTTTTCTACTGAGCCATCTCCCTGGCCCCTGTCTACTCTTCTTTTTTTTGAAACATTTATTTA